CCGGCCGCTCACTGGCTGAGCAAGGTGCGGGAGCAACACCGAGGGTTGCGATTCCGTTGCCGGTCCCGGTCCGGTACGGGCGCAACAGAGGGTTGCGATCCATTGCCGGTCACGAAAAAAGACAAAAAAAAGGAAAAAAAAAAAAAAGGTGTCATCCTTGACTTCTCTCTTTTTCTCACACCCCACATGTGATCTATCAGCAAATTGGATCTAGCTTTGAAATATATTCAGAATCTGACCACTTCTCATTGTTGCCATCATGACCACCCTGTCTAAGCCACCATCAACTCTTGTCTGGGTTAACGGAATGGTCTCATAATTGATCTCTCTGTCTTTGCCTCTACCCTACTTCAGTCTATTCTCAATTAGACACAGCAACCTTATTAAAATGCAAGTTAGATCATGTACCTCTTCTGCTCAAAACTCTCCCATGGCTCCTCATCATTCTCAGAGTAGAAGCCAAAGTCCTTATAATTGTAGGTCTATGAGGCCCTGTATGATCTGTCCCTCACACCCATTACCTCTCTGACTTCATCTCCTATTTCTCTCCCCTTTGTTTACTTCACTCCGGTCACACTGGCCTTCACAAGGCTGAAATCAAGGTGTCAGCATGGCTGAGCTCTTATCTGGAGACTATGGAGATGAATCTGCTTCCAAGTTCATTTATGTTGTTTACAGAATTCATTTCCATGTGGTTGCAGGATTGAGGTCCTCATTTCCTTGCAGGCTGTCAGCTGGGGGACACTCTCATCTCCTAGAGGCTGCCTGCATTTCCTACCACAGGGACCCTTCCATCTTCGAGCCAGCAATGACACATCTGACCTTCCTTGTGCTTCAGATCTCTGACATTCTCTTCTGCTACCAGTGAGAGAAAACTCTCCTCTTAAAAGACTAGTGTGATTAGATTAGGCCCACCTAAATAATCTCCCTGATTAGTAACCTTGATTACATCTGCAAAATGCCTTTGGCCATATAATGTAACATAATCACAACTGTGATATCTCATCATATTCACAGTCCTGAAAATTAGGGCAGAAAATCTAAGGGAAGCATTTTAGGGTTCTGCCTACTACAGTGATATTCAGACTGTTTAAGAAACCAATCAATCAGCATGTATGCCGGCTATAGTATTGGAACAAGGTCCCGGATACTACCTGCTGTTCCAGATGTTACTCTTTACTTGCTGGATTGTGGGGAGATCTGGGGGTGTACCAGAGGAAACAGCTGGAGTGGCAGCTATTTACCAACTGGTATGGAAATATTTCAATATTTTAACAACTGGGTAGCCATATCAGTGCATAGCATTTGGTTATCAGTCCTGGTTAGAGGACTAATAATCATGATGTAGCGTGTGAAGTGTAGACTGTATTGTCAGTGCTTTGAGAGTCTGAGGTTGGTCCCAGATGCCTGGAGGTGGGTGGGGAGACCACCTGCCCTCCTTTGGCACTTTGATGGTATACAAAAGCCCTTTTCCAGCCTTGCCTCCTATCTTTGTGGTGCTAGGTTTGTTTGGATGAATGTCTTCATTTGCATGGCTGTTTTCTGCAGTGGGATAGGCCTTCCATCATCTGAGCCACCAAATGCTGCCACACTGAGGCAGACAACCAATCCTATGTATTTGGGCTCTCCCCAAGCCATCCAGCAGCTGTGGCTTAGTGAGGTAAGTGCTGTTTACCTATTCTCCGCATTAGGGCAAACACCCCAAAGCAGCCAAAGATACCAAAGGTTCTTTTTAGCTTGCTGAATGAGGCTTTATTGAAGACCATCATGAGCCCCATATTTTGTGAGGACTAATCTCAGACAACAGAGATGTTCCTCCTGGGTGGTGTAAGGGGTAGGAATAGAACCTAAGGTTAATGAGCTTTGTGAAACTAGTCTGTCTCTCCCACCTAATCTTTATTTTTTTTAATGGGTGAATCTGATTAAAATGGCATCAAGAGCAACTTCGCTTGATGGAACTTCTGCATACACATCAAGAACAGTAGTGACAAGGTGGCTGTGTTGAAAAAAGTGTCACAGAGGGTTATAAGCAGTTTGAGGGAGATATAAGGATAAAAGGAGGAGCAAGTAACAGCTAATTGCAAATAATAATGATATACAGTATGGCCAGCTTCACCTGCTGCTGCTGGCTGGGACCACAGAGCACAGGCCTGGAGGGATCCCTGCTTCACCATATCTTGAGGATAACTTTATACACTATTGAAGTGGAGCCTCCTTTGGCATAGAAATACAAATTGCTACAGAGCCATGTATTCACATCACCAGCAACTCTGAATCCTGCATGGAGCATTGAGAAAGAGCTCAACCCTTCAAAGGATTTGTATTACTTGTAGTTCTTGAGCCTTGTCTTAGAATGTACACTGAATAGACTCACAGTGAGACACGTTGACAACTGAGTCTCTACATAGACTGAGTCAGCCTGTGATACCTTTTGAAGTAGAATTTGTCTTCAGTGGTTTCCCTTCCTGTAGCCTTTCCCCCCATATCAGGGCCCTTCTAAAAATTGCATTTACTACTGAAGTAGAGATGTTGCAAATGGAACTACCATGTAAGCAGACCCGGATATTCTTAGAATCAAGTTGTCCAATATCGGTATCCTACTGGATCTATTTCCAAACAGTAAAAGCACACTCCCAGGAAATTTCAAAGGAGCATGTAGTGTTTAGAATGGTTGGCCATGATTTCAGATGTGTAAGATGGTATAGACACCATTCAGGCCATCTAACCCAGGCTCCCTCGCAAGCCAAGGTGTTTTCTTTGAGTGTAGTAGTAGGTGGCATTAAAACAAAGCCTACTACCAGCAGGTGGTGACAGGAGACCTGGAGTTGATCATTTCCACCCTTCCTAGAAAATGTCACTGAGCTTAGTGGGGAATACCACAGCCTTGCATTAGGTGACAAGAAAATACCTCCCTTTTCTTTCTTTCTCTCTCTTTCTTTTTTTCTTTTTGGCAGCTGGCTGGTATGGGTATATGAACCTGTGACCTAGGTGTTATAAGGCTGTGCTCTAACCAACTGAGCTAACCAGCCAGCCAATGCCTCCCTCTTCTACTGTCATTAGAAACAATCAGGTGCCAGACATCCAGTGAGAAAACTCCAAATGCCTTAGCATGAATATTGCCATCTTCGACAGGGGTGAAGGATAGGATGGTAGGCATAGGGGGTGGAAAAATCAACCCCTGAAATTCCATACCTGCTCATGCCCCTTAAAGAGACAGAGTAGAAGTAAGCATAGATCATTTCAGAGTTCTTGGTCTAGTTGGGTTTGAATGGTGAGAGAGAGAGAAACTGAACTGTATCTCATTTCAAACACAAAAGATGAGCAGAATTTCAGATCTAGAAAGGACCTTGTGAGCCTATCCTGTTCATTTGTAGACCCACAGGATATCAGAGCTGGAAAGCATATTAAAGACCATCAATTCCAACTCCCTCACTTTTTGGATGAAGAAACTGAGGCCAAAGAAGAGAAAGTAAGTACCTAAGGTCACTCAGTTATAAGTTACAGAACCAGTAGTACAGTCCCTGGTTTTTTAACTCCTAATTTTTTAAACTATACTTCCCTCCCTTCTCTACCACCTAAGCACCTAGGATCTAAACCATTCTAGTAGGCAATTTTATAACCTAATTTTTAGACTCTCCAATGACAGAAATTCTACAAACCCACCAGTGAGAATATATTTCATTGCCATTTGTAGTTAGAAAATTCATTCAAATAGATAACTCTAAGGTCTCCTGCTGCAACACACACCCATTCCTCTTTGGTTCTGCCCTTAGTGGAAATGGATCATAGATATTCACTATTACCAATAATATTTTAAAAGTGTGGACAATGTGTGTGTACGTGTGTGTATATATATTTTCATAAATACATATATATGTTTATGTAACCAATAACTTAAGCTTATTTTCCATAGGCTAAATGACTTCTCAGTGGCAAACCAAATCTGTGAGAGAGCATCTAGTAAGGAAGACAAGACTTGGGTCCTTTTATTCTGTGCCTTCTGTGCTATAGAAAAAAACTTTCAGCAACAGACTGATCCATAGGGGGTGATCCAGCATTTTAACAGGAATTAAACATCCAAACTCACTGACACCCAACTACACAGAACCTCAGATAACCAGAAATCCTTTGCTAATACTCCATTTCTAGAAATCATGGGCAGATTATAAGAAAATAAGCTAAGATTAGATATTTATTTTGGCGTCAAAATCAGGGCAGGGCCTGAACTGATCCCATATCCTATACCTTCAGCATTTCTAGTCTAAGGTAATAAGCACTGCTGATCCAAATGATAAGATGGTCAAAAAATTTGGTAGTGGACTCTACTTAAGAACATCTCACAGTGGAGTGCAGTTACTCGTATATATTTGATCAAAAATAGCCTCTTTCTCTCTCTGAGAAGGTCCTTCTTGTGAACGGAATTCTTAGTTTTGGAAGGGAGATATCTGCAGTGAAGAGGGAGATAAGGCCCTTGTGCCTAGAGAACCAGATCAGATGAATCAACCCTGGAGATCAGTGGGGTGACATGTTATAGACAAATTGTGCTCATATCCCCTGAATTTTCCTTACTGAGGCAAGAAAATAGATTCAGAAATTTTAAAATGTTTTCAACAGATAGCCAGAAAGTCTTATTAACTAGAACAACCTATTCTAGATTACCCAGACTCGATAGACTAAGAGTTCTAACTGAATTGCCTTGGAAAGAAATAGTTCAGTCTAACAACTGGGAAAGCTAATATAAAATAATTGGGGCAGAAGACTCTTACATAGAGCTTCCAATGGGCTCCATGCCAACGTGGCTCCTACTGAAACCAAAGTAAACACCCTTGTAAAGCAAAGCTACTCACGGCAATAAGCTGGTAGGAGTTGTTCATCATGGCAATCAGCATGTTCAGCAGGACTACCAGGGAGATGACGTTGTATGTCCCAAACATGGTAGCTCCCACAAACTCGGTGAACTCATGTCTGGCTTTCACATTGGTGACATAGAGATTTAAAAGGCCAAATACAGACCAGAAGAGTGACTGAAGAGTTTCAAAGAGCCTAAAAAATTAAAGAGCAGGTTAATTAATTCCCTACAAAGATCAGGGAAAGAAAAAGAAAACTCGAGTTGATCTGAGTAACAAGGGGGATGCTAGATTTGCAACAGGTAGACTGATCCCACATATTTTGGTCTCTTCCCTAACACAAATCAGTCTGGTCAGTTTGTTTGTTCCCACTTCTATGTCTTATGCATAGAAAAGTCTTGGCATTTAAAATCTGCCCTCAACTGTGGTGATATTCGAGTCAGCGAGACCCTGTGGATACAACTGTACAAGAGGGAAAGGGTGGGTGGGGGGCGGGAAACATTTTTCCTCAGTTTTGGTGGCTGGTGGTGAGAATGCACTCGACATAGTGCAAAAAATGTCATAATGCGGTCTGGTCATCAGGAGAAGCTGACCTGCTGAAAGGCATGCCCAGGAAAAATGGGGGACTGGCATGTGAGGTGGATAAGAATATTCTGGTGAGACATCTGTAGGAAGCTCTGTGGCTTCTAGACTCAGCTGAATTTACAGGGAAAGGGCCACCACCTAGGGGGGAGGATTACTTGTTGGCTGGGTCCATAATAAAATTATCACAGGGATGGAAAGACTTGTCGACCAAACTCTAGAATCCTAATACCAAAGGAGTATCTTTTCAATTTTAAAGGAGATGATTTTAGAGAAAACAACCAGTCCATTTTTATTTAGCAGAGAGTAAACAAACATATGGAACTTGCTAATTCAAGAAGGGGCACAGACTGAAGAACAAATATTCAAGAAGACTTGATATTTAATGTATGGCAGACAAATCCACACCAGGTGGTGAAGGGGGAACTTGCTAATATGGGGAGCCATCCATAAACAGATCGCAAAGCTAAGCGGGGTACAGTAGAATAGAGATGGGAACTACAGTCCTCTGGACATTTGCTGAAAGTCTCATCTTTGAGATGAGGAATTACTATTTCAAGAGGTAGAAGAATAGAGAGGGTTTACCCTTCTGAACCTAATTCATACCAGCAAAGACGAACTGGAGGGTGAATTGGAAGAGAAAAGCTCTTTGGGAGAAAGCAGTGCCATCAATTTGTATTTCACAAGCTGTGTTTTGATAGCCCAAACGGAGCGAAGGCATGGTTAGCCCTTTGGTCTCATCCTTACCCATTCTGCAGTTCCCTGGATCTGCTATTTCTCATTTCACTATGCCTTTGATAAGCTTCTAACCCTGGATGCAATGCCCCCCCGCCCCCAACCTCTGGACTCTACTCCTGTCCTGTCTTCCTTTCTGTCCAACTTTTGTTTGACCTTTGAGGCGCAGCTAAAGCCCTACCTCCTCTAGAAGCCTGCCCTAACTCACTTCCTACAAGGTTGGATTAGATGCTCCTCTTTTGTGCTCCCATAGCACCCTAGCCTTATTCCATAAAGGCACATATCACACTGTAGAGGCAGAAGAGGGGAGTGGCTAAGGGCAAACATTAGACTCCTCCACTAATTAACTGACTTTCAGAAAGTTACGTAGCCTCTTTACACTTCAAGTTTCCTCATCTGAAAAATGGTTACTGGTAGGAGAAATCCTAATTGTTAACATTTATTGTGCTCTTATTATATGCCAAGCATTGTGCTAAGTGCTTTGCATATATTATAATATTTGATTATAACCCTATGAAGTAGCTACTATTATTCTTCTATTTGTAAGATGAGAAACTGAGGCACAGAGAGGTCACATAGGCATGAAGTGGCAGAGGTAGGATTTTTACCCAGCTCTTTTGACTCTGGAGTCCACACACTTAACCACCTTACTGTATCCCATAAGATACTGCATGTAAAACACTCAGCACAGTGCTTGGCATATGGTAAGCATTAAAAATAGCAGTAAATAATCCAATTAAAAAATGGGCAAAGGAGCTGAATAGACATTTCTCAAAGGAAGACATACAAATGGCCAGCAGGTACATGAAAAAATGTTCAACACCACTAATCATCAGGGAAATGCAAATCAAAACCACTTTGAGATATCACCTCATCCCAATCAGACTGGCTATTATAAAAAAGACAGAGAATAACAAATGCTAGCGAGGATGTGGAGAGAGAGGAACCCTCCTGCACTGTTGGTGGGACTGTAAATTAGTGCAGCCATTATGGAGAACAGCCTGGAGGTTCGTTAAACAACTACAGACAGAACTTACATATGATCCAGCAATCCCACTCCTGGGGATATATCCAGGGGATTGGAAAACATCAGGTTGAAGGGATACCTGCACTCCCATGTTTATCGCAGCTCTATTTACAATAGCTAGGTGATGGAACCAACCTAAATGTCCACTGGTGGATGAATGGATAAGGAAATTGTGGCATATATACACAATGAAATACTACTAAGCCATAAAAAAAATGAAATTCTACCATTTGCAACAACATGGATGAGCTTGGAGAAACTTATGTTGTAGTGAAATAAGCAAAGCGCAGAGGGATAAATACTGCATGTTTTCACTCATAACTGGGAGCTGAATCTACAAATAAGCAAATGAACTATAAAGAGAGATAGACAGAAAGAAAGAAATAACAATCACAGTAATACGTTGAACTTTTAGAAAACTAGAGGTGGAAAAGGGGAGGGGAGGGAGAGGGTGAGGGGCTAATGAGGAATTGGTCAGAGGACACAAAGAATGATTGTGTATTGTGATGATGAATAAGCTAACTGTACTGATCTAACCACCACACACTCTACACAATTATTATTATTTTTTTTAAAAAAGATGACCGGTAAGGAGATCTTAACCCTTGACTTGGTGTTGTCAGCACCACGCTCAGCCAGTGAGCGAACCGGCCATCCCTATATGGGATCCAAACCCGGGGCCTTGGTGTTATCAGCACCGCACTCTCCCGAGTGAGCCAGGGGCCGGCCCCTACACAATTATTGAAAATCAACATCATACCCCACATATATGTATAATAAAAAATAAAATAGCAGCTCGTCTAATAGTTTACTTGAGTTCTGCATTAGACTATGAACTTCTTGAGGATAAGGATGCTATCTTACTCAGTATTCTCATTGCCTGGTGCATAGGAGTTGCTGAATAAATGTTTGTTGAATAAATGTATAAAAGACAGGAGAAACACATAACCAAGGAAAGTACAAATGAGTGGCATCATCCTGTGATAACAATAGCAGGAAGAATATGAACTGAATTTAAGGGGCAAATCTAGAGACAACCAATAACAACCTTTAAAGCTTGATCAGAACAAAAAGAAGAGCCGTGAAGGGAACACAGCTTGTATTCGTGTGAATACAATGGGAAAATATGGGTTGAATGATGGCAGGAGAAATCACTGCTGATTAAGGAGGAGTAGCTGCAAATGAATGGTAATAGTCTGGAAGGAGAGTGCAGTGGTCTGCTAGGACATGGCTCTGTCCTATTTAGCTTTACATGTATTTGTGATTATAGCAAGTTTACATAACAAATCTTACATAACCTTACAGAAACATTCTTATACCTGTATCCCTGGATAAAAGCACAGACTGGAGCTTCTACACCTGGATTGAAATCATGACTCTGCCACTTACCATCTATGCCACTCGGGTAGCCTGCTTAACTGCTTCGTACCCTACCTCCCCTATCTGTAAAGTGGATAACAATAATAGTGTCTACCTCATAGCGTGGTAGTAAGGATCCATGTAAAGCTCATTTGTGATTGTGCCTGGCCCTAGCACTCAGTAAATATTTGTTGTCTTTATTACTAGCACTCAATAAATATTAGTTATTTTAATTACTATTATTAAACCTTCAGTCTTGTTGTTTTACAATCTTTTATTGTCTTTATAGATTGTTATTCATTTGCATATCTAGTACATGGTTGCAATCATAGTACATACGATTTTTGTGTTTTTTAAAAATTACACATTTTGGGTATAGACACTTTTTTGTGTATATACAGAGTCTTCATATGTATCATTTTACTGGCTGCCCAATATTCCATTCAGAATATACCAAGTCTGGCTGACAGGTTTATTAATACTTTGGATGAGACTCAGTGGCATACAAGATTGGGAGGGATAGCTAATAAACTGGATGACAGAATAAAGATTCAGAAAGATTTCAACAGCTTGGAGCAATAGGCTGGAACTAACAAGATGAAATGTAATAGAACAATGTAGAGTTCTGCTTTCAGGTCAAGTGCCCAAGTACCAGATGAGAGAGGTAGGAGAAAGGCCAAGGGTTTTCGCTGAAAGCAAGCTCAAAGTGTATCAGTAGGGTGACAGAGCTGGCCAGATACTTCAGTCATCCCAGGGTGGGGATGGGGGGGCAGAAGTAGAAGTAGATCATCTACAATTAGAGATAGGATTGCTCAGGCCCATCCATGTTGTCGCAAATGGCTTAAGGTAAAACTGGTGAAATCTGAAAAAGGTAACTAGAGTTTATCAATGTTGATTTCTTGGTTGAGATGTTGTACTATAGTTATTAAAGATGTTGCCACTGGGGAAAATTAGGTGGAGGGTTTACTGTTTCTCTGTATTATTTCTTACAATTGCATGTAAATCTACAATCATCTCCAAATAAAAAGCTAAAAAAAAGTAGGGTTACTACTGGACTTCATCCTTTCACTCACTTAATTGTTCAGTAGGCATGTTAAGTACCTTTATGTCTTGGGCCCCTTTGGGAGTCTCAGTCTGGTGGGGGAGAGACACAAATGACTAGAATGCAACAGGCTGTATATTGTAATAGAGATATGCTTGGAATGCCATGGGAAACACAGAAGAAGCCTGCATCTGAGAGTAGGGTTTCAGTGGGTAAGAAAAGGCTTTAGAACAGGTAATGCTCTGGCAGAAGCTGAAAGGATGGGGAAGAGTTTGCCAGGCTGGCTAGGTGGGGATGGGCCTTTCAAGCAGAGGGAATGGCAGGTGATATGCAAAGGCCTGTAGGGGTAAGACTCTCCTGTAGCTGGGAACAGCAAGATGCTGACTATGGAGGATAGGAGTGAAAGGCTGGAGACGCAAGGTCCAGATTAGCAAGGCCCCATGTGTTATGGTAAAAAGTTTGGATTTTATGGGGAAGATTCAGATACCTGGTGGGATAAAGCCAGGGGGTGACAGGATGAGGCTGGTGTTTAGAAAGAAACTTCTGTGTGACAGGTGGGAAATTGTTTGGAGGGGAGACAAGACTGGAGGAAGGGAAACAAGTTAAGAGGCTGTTGCAGTAGTCCGTGGGAGAGATGATTTAGGCATGAATGGAGACTCTGTGTGTGTGTGTGTGTGTGTGTGTGTGTGTGTGTGTGTGTGAGAGAGAGAGAGAGAGAGAGAGAGAGATGGATTCAAGGGATATTCAGGAAGTAGAACTGACAGGGCTGAGTGAGACACTGGGTGTGTTTTGTGAGGGAAAGGGTAAGAGTCCCAGACGACTCCTAGGATTCTGGCTGGTGTCCTTTAATGAGATGAGGAATTAAAGGGGAAATAGGTTGGGGATGAAGATATGGTGGTGAGAAATTTAGTTGTAGACATTGTGTGTTTGAGGGGCCTGTGGAACAGCCAGGTGTGTTCTGGAGGCAGCTGGAGACGAAGACTGAACCTTAGAAGAGAGATGCAGGTCTGGCAAGTTTGCTTCTTGCCACTTCCACCCTTTTCCTTTCACAAGTTCTGCGCCCTCGGAATGATGATGCCTTCCTAATTGCTTCTCTCGCCAGCAGATGAAGGCCAGATACTCCCAGCATGCAATACTGAACTCAAATCACCAACAGTACTGTTGTGTGGTTTTCAGCAAGGACAATGAGTTCCCTTTAAATTGTTTGCCCAAGGAAAAAATATATTTTTTTTTCTTTTTAAGTGGAAGAATAGCAATGGCATCTCTGGAGAATCAGAAGGAGAAGGAAAACAATAAGCAGCTACCAAACTTTCCACCAGATGTATAAACAAGCTCACTTCCCCTTCTCTAAAAACTGAGTCTTTCTGACACTCTAGCTGAGTAACGTGTATCTTTTTTTTTTCCTTAAAGGAGTAGTTTTAATTTATATATAGAGTGAAATATGTACATTGTTAAAATAACACCAAAAAATTAATACAAAAAAGTTTTATCTTAACAAGTATTATAAATGCCTTAGTTGAGGGGTTTAAAGGAAAACGAAAATTTGAGTCAGGCCTCCATGGAGGAAGAAAATCAACAGATAGAGGGAAAGTTGAGGTAACATTATTGCTGATTTGGCCGCAGCATGACAATGTCTCTTCATACCTGACACCCCATAATTTCAAGTATGACAGGTGCCTGTTCGTGTCAATTGTCCCTGCTGGGTAAGTGATGGGAGCAAAATGTCAGCTGGCAACAGGGGTGTTAATAATCACTACGAACTTGCAAGGAGACATTTCATAAACTTCCTCAGCAGAGTTCACATGAAAGGGTAATTGGCAGGGACCTGGCTTCCTGGAAGGCACCTTGCATTCAGGTGTTCGGTACTGTCAAACACTGTGCTGGGAACACATGCAGTCTCCTGGTGCTCAAGCCACTACAAAATTGCTCTTTATATTGAAAACAGGTTGATGTGAGTTCTGTCTCTAGAGTAATGCAGGAGAGGAAGCAGTTTCTAGTCAAGAGGCACTAGCAAGCTGGTAAGTTGCCATTGTATACTCCTGAATGGCTTAACTAAAATAGCGTGATCTCTTTACCAACCCGTTTTGGCCCCTTTTGCCTTGCACATAAGTCTGGTTTCCCCAGTCAAGATTTTGTCCTGCGTTCTGGGAAGATTGACAGGGGATGTGGCCTCGTGGAGAGGGTGCATGCTGCAATGGGCAATGGAATGAGTCAACATTTTTCAAACTTTGTTCACTGGAACATCATCCTGGAGAGATTGTTTGAAAAATAAGAATGGAGAAGAGTGTAGTCAATTATTTGGGCAAACCTCTCTCTACATTGTAGATTCATGGTGGAAAGATTCTGAAAAGTCCTACAGTGACTTTAACTTTGTCCCAGCATTTCCCAAACTTATTCGATCATAGATCCCATTTTTATGTCTATTAACATGCCACAGAACTGTGTTTTTTGGCAACCCATTTTAGGAAACGCTGCTGGAGGCAAAATATAGGGGTAGGGTATATAGCATTGTTTTATTCCCTTTCTATCAGTGCAACTTTGGATCAAGCAGAGACCCCTTTTTTTTTCCTCCTGGACTTTGTTATTGAACACATTTCTAAAATGTCTGAGTTCATTGAGCTGCCTTAGTTTACAGAGTTGAAAGAAAAAATTGTATCTTAGTTTAATGACTAAGCATCTTGCATGACCTTGGGGTCATTGTTGTGAATACCAGTGATGAGTTGTACTCTCCAGAAGTGGGGATGGAAATGGACAAGGTATAGGACACTGAGTCCAGGGGCAGCCCAGGATAGCTCCTATCCTAACAAATTGCCTGATGTGTGCTTATTTTCTTTCTCTTGTCTGTTTCCCCTAACACTGATTTGTCAAAAAAATAAAAGCAATTCTGGAGGCTTAAAGGTCCCAAAGAAGTAGGTATTGACAGTACAGAGAAAGGTACAGGGGCTCCACGTGTCTGGAGGCAGTGGACTCATGGACAAAGAATCATGAGCTGTCTCTTGTATCCTGAGTGGGAATGGAAGACATTTCTAACCAGTGCATAGTTCCACTTGGCCCACCTGAAACCTTAAATCTATCTAGCGGGTGAGCCGACTCTAATCCTACCTTCAGCCCGTCCCCTCACTAGCTTACTCCTATGAAAGGGGGTGCATTAATATATTTTTGCTTCCTTCCTTGTTCTTTGGGCTTGATTCAGAATAGTTAAGTTAGCTTTGGTAGCCACTCGTTCAGAGGAATAGCTTTGCTGTTTTATTTCCTTGGTGCGTACCACTTTATTGAGTTAGGAATTATATACCCCATACCCACAAATTATTTTAAAAATATGGAATGTTACCAACATAGCTCAGAACTAACTCATTACATGAATCCCTGGAAGCTCATGTGTATGTCTGTTTCTTTCCTCCCTCACCTCATCCTAGTCCTCTGTAGTGAGAGAAGGACCTCCCTTTACTCAGACCCTTTGGGTACCTCCACAGTGAGCTTTGCCTGCACTGTCAAGAGGCAGTGACAAAGCTGTGGGCTGAAAATAGGACAAATAAGGAGAAGGTAGAAAAGAGGCAAAAGAGGAGAGGGGGGAGTCTTACGTGGAGAAGGCATTGTTCTGTTTCTCACATCGGATCCCCTTGCAGTTGTTAGGCTCATCAATAGCTCTGGTCTCATAATAAAAGTAAAGCTGGTTCAGTCCGTTGGCAAAAGCCAGCAGTACCAGGCAGTAGATGAAGAGGAATTTGAGAATATCAAGCAGCATGCGCCCCAGAGAGATCTGCAGAGGCCCTAAGTGGGAGTTGGCTGTGAACAGGGATATGAGACGCAATGAACTTAAAATGTTGGATATCGCGAAGAGCGCTTCTGCAATCAGAGTCGGGTGCCACATTTCCCATTCCTCCCTTGGACGAGAACCGTTATACTGAAAGAAACAACAAGTGCACAAGATGAGAGGTACAGTGAGCATTTATAAAACTTTCCCCTCTTTCTTCCCTTCCACACCCAAATAAAGCTGCCAAAATATGCGTCAACCATTCATTTGTACAATGGGCCCTGTGCATGGCACTATTTGTCTTTTTTTGCCCTACTCAATCAATACATGATGCTAATAACTCTCTTCCTCCCACTCCCATCTAAATATATATACCCAGCATATACATATAGAAGAATGAATTTCAGAGCAATCATCTGGAGCAACCACCTGTGGTTTATCAACAGACATTTTCCAGTTGTTGGTTTACCAGATTGTTGGGGAATGTCATTGAAACGGAGTCACTGATATGCCCAAGGCAGTGGGGACAACGCACCCTGTTTCCTCATGAGGTTTTGAATCAGATCGACTTCCTCAATCCCCCATTGTGTACTGGGTATCATGGACAACTTATAGTTATTTGAAGAACAAGGGGTAGATGCAGCCTCCTTGGTATGCGGTGTTCATTTTCACTCTCCTGCTGACAGCAGTTTGGGGCTGATAGAACATCCTTAGGGAGCTGTTCATGAGAGCTTTCTGCTGAATTTTTAGCAGTCAGTAATGTATTCTACACTACTGCAAATGGCATGCCAACCTTCCAGGTAGTAAATTTAGTACTTTTCTACACAGTGGCGTATGGATATATTTTACTGTTCCTTTGACAACCCTCCAAGTTGGAATGTCCCTCTAGCACAAATGAAGAACCAGGGGGTTAAAGGAGGAGAAGAGCCAGTACTTATGGTGTTGGTTACCCAGTTTTTTCAGTCTTATCCCGGGCTTCCAGCTCCTGGAACACTGGGGGTAGCTTTGTAGAAAGATGACTTTGTTGTGAGATCTGAGCTCCAATTTGGGCACTGTCACTTAAAACTGCCTGTATCTTTCAACTTCACCACAAACCAAGGATAATGCCCACTCCTACCCACTGCACATGTTTGTGATTCTGTATGCATGTGCAAAAGTACATGTACTCTGTAAGGGGAGATGTTATGAAAATACAAGGAACTACTTATTACCTTTCCCAGGAGAGAAGTACATTTTGCCTGGGATTCAATCTGAAGCATACTGCCTTTAGCTCTCATCTAAATATCACAATTTCTCAGGACTAAATGTAAACAACTTTCCTGAGAAAATGTTGCTTTGGGGGCCAAATTATATTGTTAGCATTTCTAAAATGTGCCTTAGTTCCAATAACTGAGGAAACTGGTGTTGTTAAAATCACTTGTTTGTATCCGGTATTCTTCACTGTCAGGGGAGTTTGGAGAAATTGTGCCATGTCTATGCTTCTGTTTCAAATAGACTTTTAGGTGACCAATCAGTTTTATGTGCTCTTGGAAAAATCTTGTATTTTTACATTTTACCTTCCAAAAAAACATTCATTGGATTGCTGTGAAGGGTAGGTGTTGTTATGCCTGTTTTACAAATAGAGGAACTGAAATCCAGAGAGGCCCAGTGACTTGCTAAAGATCACACAGCAAATTGGTGGCAAAGCCAGGATGAAACCCTAGGTCTCCAGACACTCAGTCTAGCACTATTTCTATTAAATGTTACTTATATCATAGTTGATATCACAGCACAGATGTTAGATAGGCCTTTCAAGGATTTGAGGTATACACAAGAGATGGAGGCTCTACTGATAACAAAACAGACCTGTGTTTTATAAGTAGAAATCTGGAATATTTGTGGTTCATAATTTGGGGCTTTCTCTCTCTACAGCCAGAACTGTAACCACAGGGAAGTCTGCTGCCCATGAGAGTTTTGAACACTCAGAAGTGTTGAAGATAATTCTCATGGCAAATCTATACTTTGCATATATGCCTTTGGAGAAAGATAAGAGCATGTGAGCACAGGGAATGAACTTGGAGCTCATCTAGTATAGAGATCAGCAAACCTTTTCTGTTCAGGGCCAGATAGTACATATTTTGGGCGTTGTGGCTATATGGTCCCTGTCACAACTACTCAATACTTCCCTTTGTAGTGCTAAAGCAGTCATAGACAATACGTAAACAAACGGATATGGCTGCAGGCCAGATTTGGCCCGCAGACCACAGTTTGCTGACCCCTGATCTAACACAGTGGTTTTCAAACTAAGTTCCTTAGAGCCTGAGGGTTCAATGGAGGCATTTAGTGCCACTGTGGGAGCCAAAGAGAAGGCCTAGAAGACTCATTCCTCAAGCCAAACTCAGTCCTTTGGCTCTTTCACACATTGGGGTTCTGTGTAAGTTTTTGTTTGAAGATGTGGTTCCATGGGGAAAAATTAGAAGGTTGAAAACCACTGATCTAGTTCAATCTGCTCATTTATCAGAGGCAGAATCTAAGGCTCAGAGAGGTAGAGGGATTGCTTATGATAATCCAGCTCATGAGTATCAGAATGGGGATTAAATTCAGGTCTCCTGACTCCTGGGTTAGTGATACTGGGAAGCAAGTGATTTTTTTTTTTATATTTTTTGAGATAAAATTCAGCTTGAAAATTGGCCTTTTGCCTTTCAAAAGGGTGTGAATTGCATTCTGTCAACCCAAAAGCAAAGTAGGAAGAGGGATGGCCTGATGTGGAGACTTAATAGTAATAAGAATTTGGGAGGGGAGAATTGTGTATTTAGCCAAGTATTGGCTGAAGAGAAGATCCCAACTCAGTTGACAGCAAAGCCCAGATTTAGTCTGTGCATATGGAAGCAAGGTGGTGGTGGGATAGATCTAGGTGGTGCTATCTAGAAGACAAAAGGATTGTTATTCTCCATTTGTAGGGTTATCTGGGAGCACTGAGGGTCACGGGAGTGTATTTTTTCATTTTGAGTACTTTGATGTGTGTCTTTTTTCTCTTGTTGTAGACCATGTGAGGTGAAGTATATGTTGTTGACTAATTTTTCACTCTAACAAAGGATCTTCTTTAAGGTCAGCTCAGCCCTTGGTGCTTCTGTGCTGCCTCAGAACAATGGTGATCTGAAATGTTTCAAGAGGCCTATGGAGTGGTTCTCATATATACTTCTCATGGAAATTGGCTCAGCCTACTTGGGTAAGGTCATCTCAGATTGGTGTGACTCTGTGGATGAGTGGACCAGACTCTGACCATTTATAAGTTCTCATTGCAGATCCAAATTCTGCATGTGACATGTCTTGTTTGCAAATTTTCCCTTTTTGGGAAGGGCTCCAACTTCTTGGCAAAGGTTTCCTTTGAGTTAAGTGTTTGTCAGTTGAGGGGCACTTACCCAGCTTAGTAGAGCAGATTTATTCTTACACTTTGTGGCGGGGAAGCGTCTAGCTCTCTGGAAGCCTTGCCAGTGAAGCTGGGTAGGTTATGTGATTAGCTAATGCTGAGCATCTGCAGAAAAATTTTCATATCTCCAAATGTTAATTCCTTTCTTCATCACTTATTCTAATTTTTTTTTTTGTTTAAACACAACCTACCAATTTCTAGGTTGATAATTTATGGTCCCTCCAGTGTATAAATATGACTTCCAAAGGAAGAAATTTTTTTTTTTTTTTTAGGCAAACAATGTTACTTAGTAGAGTGCCAGAATGACATGGATTTCACCCAGGTACATTAATCAGAGAGCCAAACATTTTCCTCACCAGCTTTTTCTTTTAAGAAAGTTGTAAGTATGTGTTAAATGATCACCACATGTGTATAAGGCATACTCTTGGGCTCCTTTCAAAAATGTTTCAGGACTGCATTCAATATTCATGCTCAACATAACTCCCAAGGTCTTAAAATTTATGCAATATGCATATTAGGGATATAAAAATAAACTAAGTTGTTGGAGATTTGGGGAACAGCCATATTCCCATTCTAAAACTCCTTAATGTGGAATTTAGTGCCAAAAAGCATGACTCTTGGAGATGGAATTGTCAGCCTTTCCTCATGGTGGAAAAGTTCAACTCAGGGTAGAAGGAGCACAGCTATCTCATTATTTAATAAGCACCAGACCTGAACTCAGAGCCTATGATTACCCAAAGTGCAGTGTTGGATATGAAGCTATTTTCAGGGTAATTCAAGCTGCACATTGTGTGGGAAAACCATTAAGGTGATGTATGTGTACGTGTGTGTGTCTGTGTGTGCATACACTATAGGAAGTCATAGGTTGGGTGATACTCAAAAAGCTGAATTTATAACTTATTACCCTGGTGGTGGAAGTGATGAGGAAGGCAGAAGTTATTAAAGGTTTGTGTCTCTTGCAGAGAAGTTTCTGGGGTTCTGCTACCTGTCATATGAAGAATAGTTGAGGGAAGTGGGACTAATTAGCTTTGAGAAGAGATGACTCGGCAAACTAGGGAGAGATGACTTTATATCGGAAGCACTATTATGAAGAAGGCACAGCCTTGTTCTGTATGACCCCACAGGGAAGAAGGATTACCAGTGGGTGTGGCACTGAGAGAACAATATTAGACAAATATAAAGTAACTCTTTTAAATGAAGTGAGGAGGGTTAAGAGAGGCTTTTGGAAATAGTGAATTTAGTGAATTTCGTGTCCCTGACCTATGCAAGCATCAGTGAACCATCCTCTTGGCAAAGACATTGTAGAAAAGATTTAAATACTGAAGGCTAAAGATCCTTTTACCCTGATGGTCTAAGAAGCTAACAATTCATTTGCAAATTGTTCCATTCTTCACTTTCTTTGCTTAGGTGGACACTGCCTACAAACCATTGAAAGAATGTCTGTTTATATGGTACCTTCCTGCATGGATTAGACTGTCATTATTACACTTCCACTCTTTATGTTCAGTGCAAAAGCTTAATGTAACCAAAACTACTGCTTAAGAAAAATGGCAGACATTCCAATTTACCTTGACATAGGCCACAATCTTCAAGGAAATAGTTGCCAGGTAGAGGGAGTTCATTGCAAAATCCATCAGGTTCCACCAGTCATGGATGTATTCGGTAAATCCACCATCCCACATTTCCTTAATCTCCCCCCAAATGAAACCTGAATAATGAATGCAAAAAGTTTATATCTGCATAGGGTCATCCCTGGTTATCACAGCAAAATCCCACCAAGTGAATAAAGATGAAATCAATAAATGAATTGGGGTCAGTGGAGTGAAGACCCAAAAGATAGTAATCACTTCCCTCTCTTTCTTTCTTATCCCCCTCCCAGTCTTAAACTTGACAAACCTGGTAGACCTTTCCTGAAGATGTCCATATGTTATACTTTTCTGGGTACTACTCTCTTTTAGCATTCTTACTATAGATACTGGAATGCTGTTGCAATTTTGGGTGCCTGATTCTACCTTCTTCCCATTTTGGAATGGGAGTAGTTTCATCAATAAATTAATTAGATAAATATTATCCCATAATCAATAGTTTTCACTAGGTGCTGGAAAAGAAAACTTTTCAAGTTTTGAGGTGAGCAAGATGACCATGGACCAAATTACCAGATATTGGGACTAATGCTAGGAAGTGGGGCCCCAAATAATTTAAGATTCTCTTTTTTCCTTTCTCCTCTCACTGTGTGAGGATTTGTGGAATTTTGTCTAATGACATAGATGTTTCTTTAGCTCTGAAAAATGGAAAACAGTAAAAAGTGTGGCTGTGGTCTAGGGCAGTGCTTTTCAGATTTTAAAGTGCTTGTGAATCACCTGGTGATCATGTTCACATGCAGATCCAGGGTGGGACCTGAGATTCTGTGTTTGACAAGGTTCCAGGTGATGCTGATATTGCTGGTTTGGGGACCACAGTTTGAATAGCAAGGACTTAGAGGATGACCCTGTGTTGGAGGGTTCAGTGGAATCTAATGACTGGAGACTACTGGTAGGGCTACATTCATCATGATGTGTGTGAATTTCCCAGGTTTCCCTCCTGATTGTGGAATCAGTATCCAAATAGATGTGGACTGTGAACAAGTACTGGGACTGTGTGGAGTAGCTATGAGAAAGCAGCAGATCCATGTGCCCCTAGTTACGGGAAAGAAGGCTTTGAATAAACTGATCGGCACTTGCCCTGCTTAGTTTACCTGAGTCATGTTGTGACTGATATGTGGCTTTGTCTCTAAACCAACTGACAGATAGCTTCTCTGTCTTTGAAGATGTTAGGTTAACAGAAACAAGCCTCAGGTGCACTGCCAATCTCACTGTGGACCATGAAATATTGAGTGACCAGGGCCCAGGACAGAAGGAAGCACATTTCTCAGACTCCCAACAAAGGACTATCCCACTGCACTGAGGGAGGTGCCCTAGTTTAGAGCCTGTCAGTCTGCTTGTTCTATTAGTTTCTTTAGATAGGATAAGCAGGCAGTCTGGCCATAGCTCTTGGTGCCTTTGACTCACCTAGAACCCAAGGCAATATCATCCATTCCACAACAGTTGGGGGAGGCCCCTGTACATGGAGGTCTGTCCTGACGATGTGCTGAGAAGCCAGAAGCAGCATGAAGAGGAAGGTCAAATAGGATGCTGTGTGGCAGATGAACTTGATAAAGGGCTTCTTGATGAACAGCCCAAGGTTGCTCCTGGGTGAGATCAGATAGGCTATAGACAGCATGGGAAACAGGAACCCAATGGTCATGCAGGTCAGAAGTTTGACTACCCAGTGTTTCCGCCGCCATCCAGGGAAGCCGTCGTACCACAGGGTGGCAAGCAACTGTTGGCAGTTGGGCTGAGCAACAAACTGGGAAAAAAGGAGAACAAGTTAGGCATCTGGGATTTCCAGGGGAAAGTCTACATTTATAATACTACTCCTAGTTTACTGTTAGCTCTGGCAAGGGGCTGTATGGCCCATCCCCAGAAGAGGCCCATTTTCCAGGTTCCTACAAATGGGTCTAACCCCAGAGACAGCTCTACATGTCAAGCAATGAGACCAGATTTTCCTTAGGGTTGATTATTTTTCTCATATATTAAAACAAAATCACTCTGGTTTGTCCCTTGGCATGCCTCCCTATTCCCCCACCCATCATGTTAGAGCAGTAGTTCCCCAAACCTGGCTCTGCATCAGAATCATCCAGGGAACAATAAAAAAAATCCAGATTCCCAGGTCCCACCAGACTGACTAAATGAGATGCTCTGGGGGTGGGAGTTGGGGGTGGAAAGGTAGAGACTGGACGGCTGTTTTATAAATTCTCCTGGGAATTTACACGCCTCTTAGCAGAGAATCATGGCGATATTTCATTTCAAATTGATTCGCTTCTACTTATTCCCCTAGCCTATGTGAGGTCATCATCAAATGTGCACTCTGCTTGGGCAAGCACAAACAAGCACGGAATACGCCCGTGCTTGTGGCTATGGTTTGAAATGGAAATGAATTCTCTTTTTGATATTGTCTTTTTTTTTCCATTTTGTTTTGAGCACCTCTTGGTTGGCTTACAGTGAATCAGTTTGCTACATTGTCATCTATTTAACACTCTCTCTAGTCTAGACATGCAAAAGAGGAAAAAATATTGGGGGGCTAACATTACAATATTGTATACTAACCCAGATGGGATTTTACTTAAAGGCAATGTACAAAGTGTGAGCGATTAATAATTAAGGAATCATCAGCATTGCAAGTCACCCTCCAGCTGCTACTTCCTGGTAAGTGACTCAATAGGGAGCTCAACTGTCAACTACGATTTTAAATACTTCTTACATTTGACTACTCCAGCTTCCCGTGGGACAAGTTAAACAGAGCTGCACTATAGAGCTTACTAGTACAAAGGAAATAAACCTCTTCCATCATTTACCCAACACCCGAGCTACACTAGACCAACTTTACTGTTAGCATATCCAGAACAGTCACTAGTTTCCCACCCATTTTTCTCCTCCTTGAGCAAACAGCCGGACTACATCTCCCAGTCTTTCTTACAGTGAGGAATGACCGCATGACTAAGTTCTTGCTGGTGGAATGTAAAGAGAAATGATGTGTGGCATTTTCAGGCCTGGCCTATAGAAGCCTCCCATGTATGCTCCTCCACATTCTTTTCCCTTTCTGGCTGACTGGGATGTGGTAATCCAGGGTGACCTAGGGGCTTCTATCAGCCCATGTCCCTCAATAACTACGTGGAGGAGAACTATCCCGCTGACCAAGAATACCCATCTTGAACTGTTCCATGACTAGAAAAGTTTTATTGTGTTTGGGCCATTATATATTTTGGGGCCTAGCCTGCCCTAAAGCAGTTTACCATTATACAACTCTCAAAAAAAAAAAAAAAAAAAAAAACTCTAAAATGTTTTCATTTAGAAAACATGATCTCATTTCCTCCAAAGATGGGCACATCCCCATTATGTATTCATATCTCCTTTCCACACATTCACACACAAAGAGACAAAATCCTATAGTCCTTTTCTACTGTTCTTGCCATAACAGTGGGATGAAAAAGGCTGGGATGAAAAAGTCCAAGAAAATACAGAAAAGGTGAAGGGTAAAGCAAGACTTCTGGATGCAATGGAAAAATCACTGGGAGCTCAAAGTTTAGTGAGGGAGACAGATCTATAAAAAGAGTTATACAACTGTATAGTAAGGGCACTGAAAGAGATATGAACAAGGCATAATAGAAACAAAAAGGAGGGGATATTTGGACTTCTCAGTGAAAGCTTCCTGGAGGAGATGATACCTGAGTGGAGTATTAAAGGAAGTGAAGAAGATGGCTAGGTGCAGGGGAGGAGAGTGAAAGGGAGTAAACAGCCAAAGCATACGACTAAAGGCATAGCGGTAAAAAAGAACATGACTCGTGTGGGGACCTGGAGGAGCCTGGGGTGGCTGCAGATTGAACTGAGAGGCTGCGAATGGTAAGAGATGAGACTGGAGAGGCAGGCAGGGGTTAGAGTAGATCAGAATAATAGTCTTTGGCCATTATAAATAATATGGACTCATTTTAAGAGCAATGGGGAGCCATAAGCAGAGTGTGTGTGTGTGTGTGTGTGTGTGTGTGTGTGCGCGCGCACGTGTGCGCACATGTGTAGAGCAGTATAACAGAGTGGTTAAGACTGTAGACTCTGGGGCTAAATTACATTGGTTCAAATCCTGGCTCTGTCACTTACTAGCTGTGTAACTTTGTAGAAGTTATTTAACCTCTCTGTTCTTCAATATCTTCATCTAAAGAATGGAGACAATAACAACATGTACCTTATAGGGTTGCTGTGAGCATTAAGATTACTACATATAGGGCCGAGCCCGTGGCGCACTCGGGAGAGTGCGGCGCTGGGAGCGTGGTAGCGCTCCCGCCGCGGGTTCGGATCCTATATAGGGATGACTGGTGCGCTCACAGCGCTCACTGGCTGAGCGCAGTGCGGCCGGTCTCAAAAAGGACAAAAAAAAAGATTACTACATATAAAGCACTTAGAACTGTGCCCACCACATAGTACAGACTCATTAAATCTTAGCTGCATACATTCTTATGCATGTGATAGAATTAGATTTAGACATTAGAAAGATCCTCCTTGTTATAGAGTAGAAGAAGATGGATGGTGGCAGAGGGTGGGCAGAATTAGAGGCAGGAAGACCAGTTAGAAAGCTGTTGTTCATCTTGAACAAAATGATGGCAACTTAGACTGTATTAGTCCATTTATGTTGCTTATAACAAAATACATGGAACTGGGCAATTTATTAAAAAATGAAATTTATTGCTTACAGTTTTGGAGGCTGGAAAGTCCAAAGTCCAGGGAACACATCTGGTGAGGGTCTTCTTGGTGGTGGCTTTACAGCAATGCAAGGGTCTCACATGGCAGAAAATGGTGGAGCAGAGAGAGAGAGAGACGCTCATGCGCCCTCCTTTTGAAGCCCTCAGAACCATGCCCATCACCACCATTATTAATCCATTTACTGTGGTATGGCCCCATAATCCAATCACCTCTTCAAGGCCCCACCTTTCAATTATCATAATAGGATTTCCCACCCTCTTTACCCTGTCACAGTGGGGACTAAGTTTTGGGGGGACATCAATCCACAGGATAGACTAAGGAAATGGTGATGGAAATGGAGAGAGATGGTCAGATTCAAAATATAGTGAGGAGGTAGAATTGGCAGAACCTGGTGATGGATGAGAAGTGGAGTAATAGACGGAGTGTGAGAGTAAAGGGGAGAAGAGCCTTCTCATTCTGGTGAATTGGTGATGGTAGTGCCATTAACTGAGAGAAACACTGAAGATGAAACAGGTTTATGGAGATGCATGCATTTTTAGGCCTGTTGAACTAGATTTGTCTGTGGAACATCTAAACAGACATTGTTGTTGAACTACTCAACTCAGCTGTTGCAGTGCAAACTCAGCCATAGATAATATGTAAATGAATGGGTTTGTCTGTGTGTCAGTAAAACTTTATTTACAAAAACAGGCAGCAAATTGTAGTTTGGCAATCCCTATTCTATGGTATTGCTCCATGCTGCTGCCAGAAACAGATATTTGGAGCTCTTCAGCAATGGTCTTTATGATCTACTGGGACTTCCCCTTGGGTATCCCCAAGAACTCCAACCCCAGAAATCACCTTCCTCTAAGGCGATTTTTACCTAGTGACACTGAATTCTTTATTTTAAAAAATTTTGAACACATAGTACCTCCTCTTCTATTTTTAGGAATAAGTTTTAACAAGTGTTAAATATCTCAATTCTCAAAAACAATAAGATTTTTTAAAAATAAGATTTGATCCAGAAACAAGTCATACGTAGTTATATATTGTTTTCATCTTTACTCATTTCCATTATTTGTCAATTTATCTTTGATGCAATCTGGGAACAATTAAGCAGTCACTGGATACCTGTTTTAGAATCTCAAGAAACTATTATCCACCACAGGAATCTAATGGTGTATATATATATATATTTGGTGTATATCTATCTATCTATCTATCTATCTATCTATCTATCTATATATATTTGCATATATTTAAAATTTTAGAAGAGAATAAGTAATAAACTATTCTAGTTACTTTATACCAAATATTTAGATACCTAGTCAAAATAGTAAGGATTAAGATCTTTCTCCAGTTGAACTGTTGACTATATAAAAGCTATTTTCAGCACTTTCTTTTGAGGATTAAAAATGCTTTATTTCCCTGCTGGCTAAAAGGAGGAATTACACATTACAAGTAAGTCCTTTATAAGTGAATTTAATTCCTTAAGAGAACAGCCATAAAAATGTATTTTTAAAAATTTCTCTTAAAAAACTGAAAACAATCTTTCTCTTTAAAACCTATGGCATTAATCCCTTTTTGAAAGGGCATCAAGTTCATGATCTACACATGCATAAATAAGGAACTGAATGTCTTAATAGAATTTGGCAAGCCAGAAGAATGGCCTAAAATAAGTAAATAAATAAATAAAAAAGAAGAGAGTACATATCTTCTAAGTATGAACATATAATTCTATAGGCCAATGCAGCAAATAGTGCTCCACGGAGGGAATGCAGGGAAGAGGAAAGTAGCCTGTTCCTATGTACATTTTCTTGGTATTCTGGTTGTCTTTCAACAACAGAGAAATATTAGTTTTATTATTATAAAGCCATTAATTGCCCGCTGTAGAGCAATGTCAAAAAAAATCTTTTAATAATGTAACTTACATATAAAATTAATTTAATAATTAAATCTAACTGCAAAGGAGTCTTCAATGATTCCTAAGTTCAAGGGAGTATAATGTTAATATAATTAAGAACTTTGATGGGTGCTTCTATATTTCAGGATATTTCATCTTATTTTCTTCTCTTT